ATGTATGTATGTATGTATGTATGTATGTATGTATGTATGTATGTATGTATATGTATATAGAGCCAGCTAAGTTCAACTACCAGTATTGTACTAGCACAACTTACATGCAAGGACTCGCAAAAACAGTGTCTGAGCCTCAATCAAATCAACATACTGGCCGGTCTGTGCATTGAAGCCCTTGGACAATGCCTTTTCCTGGAAAACATTTAGCCAAAGTCCAAACCATGACAAACGTAATCTCAGGTTGTGAAAAGAATACTTCTGCACTTGTCCTTGGTCAAGGTCTGCACAACTACTGCACCTTCTTCTCCCGCGTTCCTGGAAACGCTGGCACAGCTCTGGTCGAGACGTGGGGCCCTTAACCAGCCCGGAACGGTGTTCGAATTATATATATATATACAAATGCGAAGGTTCTGTACGAAGACACCACAAAAGCGTGGCATTGCTACAACACCTGTTTCAAGTGCTTCCCTTGACCGAGGTGCTGAGCAATCTGGATGCAGGGCTGCTTCAAGGCAGCCTGGCGATACAGAGTCCAGCAGCTCAGCTCGACTTTATCAGTATGGCTGGCAGAGGTCTGCAAACCTTGTCAAGAGTCTCCTGCTTTTCTACCCTTTGCTACTACCCTCTACCACCAGTAACAAAAGCATTTCTTCAAACAAGAATGCTGCTTGTGGCTCTTTGGATGTGTGAATTCGCGGTCCGGCCTTGATGGCATCCACTCCCACCTGTTGATCCAAGCTATCCAGTTTGACGCCCTGACCAAACGTTGCGTTGGTAGGGAAGTCACAAGCCAGTAATTTAGCAATTCTGGGCTATGCAACAACATTCCAAAACCTATCCTTTATTCCTGCAAGACCGAATGCCTCTTTGTAATTCAACAGGTGCCCAGTCAGAACTGTGACTGGATATCTGCATCTGCTTGCCATTCAAGCGAAAGAACAGCCAAGCAAAACCACAAATGCACAGGAATGAATGTGATTGACTTCTTTTACGCCTCCAGCTTCAGAGTGGCATACAGAAGAGCAGCACCTGATAAGCAGGAATGCAAACACGTTTCGACCTCGCCTTTCCAGAAAGTACGCATGCAATCGTCTGTTCATCCGGTGGTGAGTCGTTCCAACGCTCCATTTTCGGCTTCTGTGTAAGTTGCACCTTTGTCGTTCAGCATCACTTGAAACCAGTATGCCTCCGCCAGGAACGATGCCCTCTTCCAGTGCTGCTTTGGTGGCATTCAAGGCATCGTTCAAGCGGTCCTGGTAGCATCATGAAAAAACCAGGGCTCTCAAATCAAAACTGGACCTGCATCAATCAGCAATTAAATTGCCACGCCTTGGTCTCATTGACTTCCACTTCACTTGCCCCACCCACCTGCTGTTCAGAATGTCTTGGATTGTATATATCAATTTGACTGGTGACTTCACCCAGCCTTAATGACTGCAACACCTCCGCTCAACTTGGCAAGGCGTTCCTTCATTTTGTCCTCACACAAACATGTCCGGGCATGTATCACACATGTTATTCCAGAAACTGCATGAAATTACGTCGCACCCAGGAAACTCTGTCACAGCCAACCCTGCAATCTACAGTCAGTATACTTGTAAGCTTGATAAGTAGACTCTTTGCCACAGGGTTGAAGAGGCAGCAAAGACTTGAATATCCTTCTCGTACTCAGAAGTGGATGCGTCAATGCTGTCTCGGATGCTCTCACATCTCTCCTGCACAGAAGAGACACCCATTTGGACGTGTTGAGTCGTTTGTTCGCACTGATGTGCAACAACGAATAACCACCCACCTCAATCTTTGCCTTCTCACCGGCTCCGTCTAGAATCACAGTGCTATCCTGGCCGGGAAGGTAACTGAATCCAGTGACTGGGTGAATGTCGTGGAACCTTGTCAATGGAGATGGTCTTGGCAGTGCCCAACTGCGAAAGCTGCACGTCCTGGTCACCCGTAATTCACCAGCTGTAAGTCTGCAAACACGGCAGCCAAGCACTCCTCCAATTTGCCACCTAATTCCTCTGTGATGAGCTCTGCCCCAGTCAGCACTGAGAGATCCTGGCACTTGAGTTACTTGAGCTAGAATTGCAAGTCCTTGTTTGCCCCATCCTCCAAACCTGCTCATTTTAGTGACTCAAGCCACCTTCAGCACACTTACAAGAATGTTTCATTGTACAGATCGAGTGTAAGAAGACAATTCTTGTCAATTGTGAGGTAGGGCAATGCAAAAGACATGGCCCAATCCCCCCAAGCGATTGTCCTGAAGGATGGCCTTCCTGTTGTCACCAAAACCAGGGGCCTTGATGGCAGCGACCTGGCAAGGAAAGTGTGATTGAGCGCCAGCCTAGTACTAAGTTTCAAAGAAAGCAAGGTCTAAGGGCCTGAAAGAAAAGAAGAACGGATAAGAACTGTATACAAGCGTTGTACGCATTAGAGAAGACATTTATCAGCGGAAATTACTTGACATCAAGTGATGAACGGAGTAGTCAGGGTATAGCGGTAAACAGCTCCAAAGAAGTGGCAAGGCCCCTTACCTTCCCTTGTTCATCTCTTGCTTTTCGCTTCAACTGTGTTCGTGTTCTTTTCCTGTGAGTATTTTTGCCAATTGCTTTTGACTGTCTTTCTACCTTTTGACAAAGAAATCACAATGACTTGCCTTAACTTAACCATTCTGAACATGTCTCTGATCTGTTCCTCCGGCCTTCAGGCCACCCCTGAGTTTGTTTACAATGAGCATCGAGAGAGCCTGTCAGAACGATTCAAAACACGAAACAGCACACAAGTTAAAGCCATAAAGCACAGAAGTGACAAAATCCGCCGACCCCACACCGTGGGGTGAGGCGTGACTGTCGATGTTAGCCTTAGCCTTAAGCCTTAGCCTTAGCCTTAGTCCTTAGCCTTAGACCTAGTCCTTAGCCTTAGACCTAGACCTTACCTCCCCTACCCCTCCGGACCCTTGTTGCAGTGACGAAATCCCACCCTAAAAGCGACGCAAATTCTCCAGGAAAGCTATCTGAGCGACCCGGGAATTGTCCAAGATTCTGCCATCCCAATTGATTTACATCTTGGGGCACCCTCTCGACCCGCGCGGGAAAATAAGCACGGTCCAAAATGGTCCTGGGCTCGAATCCCGGGCTGGTCGCGGCATGGTCCCGGCCAATGCCCTTGCTTTTTCGTAGATTTTGTCACGTTTTCTGTTTTTGCAGTT